ATTCTGTGGAAAACCAATGATAAGTTTCATTTGCTCAGTTTTGCGCAACATAGATTTCATAAGGGACATACGTGACTGACGAACTTACTGATGGCTCGGATACTCTGGACTGCGACTGCTTACCGTGGTCACGCAGCAGTCAAACTTTTTGTTTTTTCGCTAAGGCCTTTGACACCGTTCTCCATTCGCGGCTGTCACTAAAGCTAGGGTCTTATACAATATCAGTTCATGCCCTTCAGTCAATGGTATCATTCCTGCTTGGGCAAAAACGATGTGTACGAGTGGTCTGCAACCTTTCCTTTCGGCAAGCTGTTCTTAGCGGCGGCGTGTATTCACACATGAAATATAGGTCTGGGCTATTCATCACGCCGTTCTCGAATGTCTAAACTTGCTTCAAGAGGCCGTGGTTTGATACTTCTGGTGTTGGATATCAAATTTACCTCTTATCCTAAATGACTGCTACATTCAAACTTACTTTTCACCGATAGGGGTCGCGCTGACTGAAAATACAATTTTATCAAAAAGTGACGGCTTATAGCTGAAGACCGGTAGCGTTAACGACGTAATGTCAAATTTCGACATATAACCATTATCTGTTGGCCCTGCACTTACCTGAAGCAATATCCGTTACAGATGCAGTGATGCGCAAACTTTTGTTGGATGTACCGAAAGTGTAGTCGTCAATCAAATTCGACAGTGGATAAACCGCATCAAACATGAACCTTCCATTGGATCGCGAAGTAACCTTGCTCAGCACCTAACCATTGTAACCCTTTAATTGCTTATTATATCCGATTTTGAGAACATTTTTGGTCTTTTTGGGGAAAGACGTAGCGTGGAAATTTGGACTACGGTTTATCATGACGCGAAACTGAGAGTAAGGGATGTAGGAACCAGTGAAAATGAATAGCAGTGTTGTGGATATTTTTGGTGCGCCCAGAATTTGTGTCAATGGGACTTGTTTCGGGCGGTCGTGCCAGCCACAAAGAAAAATCCCCTCAGATGAAATCAAAGGAACTTGGCGTAGTTTCAGTGAGGTGTTGCGTTAAAGTTCATCTATATCGGGATCAGTTTGCTGGACTGCAGCTATTGCGGCCAGATCCATGTTGGTTACCTTACCTAGGCTGGTCTGGTGGATTCGTGAAAGCATCAGGGACGAAATTAAGGGCGACTGAGAACGGTGCGCTTGTCCTGAGCTGAGACATAATCTAGATGGTGATCAATAAAAACTGAAAATGTCGGATGCCTAGATACATCACGCGTAGTTCCTTACTGAAGGTGCTCTAACGCGATTCGGAAGACTGCAAACGGAGGTACTCATCGCCCGTCGATGAGCTGTTGAAGAACCATGTCGACGGCAACCACTGATGCGTTGCCACTGGGTGTGAGTAGGCGAGAAGCACTATGTTGAGCTTCTCGAAGCCGGTTGATTGTCGTGTTGGAAGTGGAAAGAGCGTTGTTTACCGCGGAGCAGGTAAACTATTGGTTGCATAATGCTCGCGCAGTTAGGGATGAAGCGTCGATAATATTCAGCCAGGCCAGTGAGGCGACGGTGGTTGAAGGAGCAAGGAGCAGGATAAGCATTTAGTGCTTAGATTTTGTCTGGTAGTGCTTGAGAAGCTGCGAATCAAATCGATGGTACTTTGACCAAGTTCGCATTTGTCGGTACTAGGAGTAAAATCTATCACGGATGAGGCGACTTTGGCTTTGGCCAGTCGTGTTTGCCGCTAGTACGACCCGGCCGAGAAGTTTCACTGCTTCTCGGCGAAGATTCACAGTTTGATATTGGCAAGACCGCTCGGCCATCCTACCTATATTGCCAGAGACGGGTCAAAATGACCGCAGTACTGCATCTGTTTAATCTAAAGTTTCAGAATGTTTTGGAATACAAATGTAAAAAACTAAGTGTAAAAATAGTTGTAACTGAAAAATCATTGTGTTGTACAGTAAATTTGCCAAAAACTTGAAAATAATCAAACTTATTTATTCAGTTTTGCCAAGCTTGGATAGCGTATTCAACACGCGGGCGCACGTAGGAATTGTGCATCATTGTGAAGATTGATGGGTCAAATCTCCCGAATGCCCTTCGCAGCATGCCAATGTGCTGGTTGCCTCTTTTCGCAGCTACCTCAGCCTGTTTTGAACAGTTGAGGTCACACTGTACGATCACACCAAGGTCACGTTCCTGGGAGCTATTCTGCAATCCGTTTGTCCCAAGTAAATAGGTGTGGTTATGTCTATGGCGTAATTGTACAACGCGACATTTGTCTATGTTGAACGGTAGGGCGTTTTGAACTGACCAGTTCGACACTGTGTTAAGATCACACTGGAGCCGTTCATGGTCGTCCGGTCCTCTGATCTTTCGCCATATCTTGATATCATCAGCGAAAAATAAAAAATCGGAAGTAATTGATCTCGCCAAATCGTTAATGAACACCAAGAATAAACGAGGTCCAAGAACCGAGCCTTGTGGTACTCCACGCGCCACATCGAACAATGATTCTCGGACTCACACCACTAGCCGTCGTTCTCGTAGAAAATTCTCAATCCAACTCAGGATTGGGTCGCCAATGCCGTAATTTCGAAGCTTCTGAAGAAGAATGCGATGGTCTAAGCGATCAAACACTTTTGAAAAGTCCAGGTAGATGACATCGACTCCTACTCCATCATCAACAGCTTCAGTCCAGCTATTACGTGCAATTAATAGGTTGATATTACACGAATGCTTTTGACGAAAGCCATGTTGCTTTGGGGCTATTAAACTGTGGCTTTCCAGGTATTGCATCAGCGCGTCTGCGATGATTGATTCCATCAATTTGGATAGTACGGGAAGTAGTGTTATTGGACGGTAGTTGGCAGGATCAGTGCGGCTACCTCCTTTATGGATAAGAGTGATGACCCCTCGCTTCCATACTGGTGGAATACGGTTCGCTTCTAGACATTGCTGATACAAAACTGCCAGTGGTTCTGCTAGATCACTAGCTACCGGCTGCAGAGCTTTTGGTCGGATGTTGTCAGCTCCGGGAGAACTGTGGATATGCAAGGATAGCAACTTCTTCAACACAGCTTCCGCAGTGAAGGTGATGTTTTCTAAACCAGATGGTGGAGTATTAGAAATGAGGAGAGGTCTGGTGAACAGGCGACCAGTGACCTTCAATTGTCTCCAGGGAGCGCTTACTCAACTCGCATATCAGCGTACTTTGATAAGCATTCAGAAGAGCTGGCTTTGTAAGTTGGCTGGTGTCAATGCGCTCACATCGTCGTCGTGGGCGTCCGCCAAAACGCATGCGCATGTCAGCACATACAAATGCATGATCGGTGTCCACACATGTGCTCCAAATCGAGTGACAGTTCTGGATGCAGTCTCTAAAGCGGCAACTGAGTGCAATGTGATCGATTTACGTCCAAGGCTGCTGGGCGCCAAGTCACCCTCCGGCGAGTGTTGTGTTGGAAGTTAGTGCTCGCGAGAAATAAGCTAACATCTTCCCACAAAGGAAATAACCGCTCACCGTTATCATTACGGGAGCCTACACAGTGCTGACCGCCCAGATGCATTTCATCAGTGGACAACTTTTCAAGTTGTGCGTTCAGATCCCCAGTAAGCACAACAGTGTCCGTGCTTCTTCTGTGGCGAAAGAGCCGGGTCAGTTGGCGGCCGAAGTCGTTTTTTACCGAATCATCGCTACAGTTTGTGGGCGCGTAGGCCAGATGGAGTGCGAACTGTTGGTGACTCCCGAAAAGATGACACGGCAGTACAGTGCTTCTCCGGGTGTATAATGGCTGTCCAACTGAGTTCAGATATGATAAGCTTCTACTTACACCATTTAACTCCCCTACCAACCCTTTGTAGATATTATAAACGTTGATGACGAACGGAAAAAGGGAGTGGCGAAGTAATCATAGCAGTTTAAAAAGACCAAGGTCCAAAAAGGGATGTGAGTCATCAAAAGGCGCGTGTTAAAGACGCTGGACAAACAAACGACCACTTGCAACCACGAGAAGTACAAAGTGATCAAACATGACATAACTTGTCTCAAATATAACGGAAGCACAAGCACAACGGTGATGGCTCTACTCCTAGTAAACTAAGCATAAGGTTGTGAGGTCACTTTTGAGGTAAGTAAGAAGATATCCAAAATATCTGGTTTTGATGATCGATATGCTCGAATATAAAACCAATACCACCGTATAGAGCTAGTGAACATGGGGATAGGAAAAGCTGTAGCCATAGGTTTTGGGAGATAAGTTTCATATTACTAAAGTTACAACTCACGGAACACTCTAGCCAAGATGTGTGAATTGAAAAGAATGAGAAAGCGTCTATCTGATGCGTCATTTGAAAAGTTAAGTTTTATGAAAAAAGGGATGGAGAGGGCGCAAGTTGGGTAGCCAGCTGCTGAGACCAGTAAATCTAATACAATAATGTGCGAACAGAGCACACCCCAGTGCATAAATGAATGAGGCAAATTTAAAGTGCGCACGCGTCCATGAATCAACCCGAAGCGAAAGCCGTAGAGTTTGGAAGAAAAATCCAGAGGGCACGTCAGCCATAGCTGAAAGGCATTGTTGGGTCACGTAAGGGAATAAGGACACTCAAAAGAGACAGCAGTGGCGTACACTAAGTACGGGGCCGTAACAGAAAGCGCACAGCGGTCAAGTCGCGAGCGAAAAGCAAAACGGGTGAAAATGGAAGTAAAGTCCGAGTAACGGTGACAGTGTCCAGAACGTCGCAGATGACAAGTGTATACAAAAAAAGGAAAAGGCGGAGAACAAACTGAAGGGTTAGATGACATGCAACGGAAGCAGGATGTTAGGGGATAGCAAGGACCAAAGAAGCAGGATATTGACATGGCGGAAAGTACGGAGACAGTGCTCCTGTGTTTAAAGTGCTGGCCATGGGGATAGTCCGAGAGGGGTAGCACCCTACGTAACCGGGTGTGCGCATATAAGGGGATTCCAATGTTCGCAGAGGAGAGGGGAAGCGCGAGCTGCAAAGTTGATCATTCCGGTTGATTTTCGATCCCAGCGGTCCCATCAGTAAGTTTAGCGTACTCCTCGAGGAATTTAATGCGCCGCTCGTGCCCTCTGATAATGAGTTTGATTTTACGCATATCGTCGAGTAGGTGTTGAACCACGGCAGGATCAACAGCAGATGAAGCTGTTGCACAAGTCCCATTGGCATCCTTGAAAAGGAAGACAAAACGAACGGACGTTGAAGCAACGAGCTAGTACATCTAGGTGAACAAGAACTCCTATTTCTTGATAAAAAGAACAACAGTCAAAAACCGACCCAATGACAGCAGTTAGACGAGAATAGTAACTCCAGTGGAAGTGAAATGAATCGCGACTGCAACCAACGCTACCCCATGAGTAGGCTTAACAATATGAGATATCGTGTGGATATGGATAAACGGACTGGATGCAGTACACAAAGCGACATGAACCGGAGGCAACAACCATTTCAAAGGACAACGACGCCGCACCAAACTGGAAAAATGACACAAGTAAACGATGTGGTGAGGTGTTAAGATCAGAAAAAATCGGAATGCATAGTACACAAATTCGTGTGACAATGCGAATAAGCCTTTGGCAGAAAAATCCAGGACAACGAAGCGGAATGCCGAAATCCAGGCTAATCTTCGAAATAATTGGGTGAGGACACGGATTATTGTTCTGAGGATATGTGCGAACAACAAATGCTACTCGGTAAAATCAAGAATAAACTGCCACAGAAAAATAGGGATTGAGTGAACAGGCACGAACGATCCTCGACTCTTCCTGTAACGTAGAAACGCAATGGCGTGTAGTTAAAAATGTCGAACCATTGCAGGAGTTTCTGGGAGCCACATCGAGTTGACAGTTCGGAAATTCTGAGCTATTGAAAGCGTTATACAACACAAACTGGCTATCGAGGCGAAGTACAAAGAGCAAGCAAACGAAAATGTGAAGAGGACTGCGTAATCGGACCAAACGAATAATAATTCAGTCTAGCTGAAGAACTATAATCCGTGGATTTAGTTGCCGCGAATGATAGTGGTGAAGAAGATGGAGTAGAACGCAAATATGATGCAGAGAAAATGCGTCAAGAGAGACGCTGTGTAAAATTAACCGGGTTAGAAGATTAATACCTAAATGGACGAATGAATGCGAAATTCGGTGATGTGGAACATCCCGAGACTTTCATCTGCGAAAACAGCACAAACCAAGCTAGTCAAGTCATCAGCATCAACACACGTTAGCTGAGAGTGAGAAACACAGCTAATGGACCACAACACAAAAAGATAAGATACAAAAAATTACACTGTAAAATTTCTAAAGGTAACTACTATATTGTTAAATATCATATTATGCATTGGGTGTGTGATCATAACTGAAGGGGAAATCTAAAAGGAAGGGGATGGACAAAGAAACGCACAACACAAACGTCACTGAGGTAGGCTCTTCGCCATATCAGCAAATGTACCTAAGCAAACGTTTTAGTCATCCTTCGGTCCTCAGCCCAGCAGCCGAGAAACACCACCGAAGCCAACTTCGAAGTGGGGGACTACATTTTTCTCGACCAAGTTAACGCTTGGCCTCTCCTCTTCCTCTTCCAGAAAGACCCTGGGAGCGCAAACAATACACGGCGCGGGAGTCGGTGTGCTGGCACGCGCAACTCGTGGCCCAGTCATCAGAGTCCGGTGCGTGATATACTGGTACTGAGCGGTTAACGAGCTCATCCTGCAACAAGTACACCGAACACGCTCATCGTTCACGCGGTGCTCCCACCTGTCACGATCTAAGCTGAGAAGGCAGCGATGGTTGGATGTAACTAGTCGCTTGATGGATAGCTACCTGATGGGCAACCGTACAGTAAGGTCGAACGTACGGCAGTGTTGTAAACTCAAGGTTCTGTTCATGTCATAGTTCTCTGCATGAACGTTTACTGTTCATGTCATGCGGTGAGTCGCAGCTGATTGCATCGGTCAGGGAAGATCGATAGTTATGCTGAACCGTAAGAGCAGACAGCTTATTCGTATCTACCTTACAATGCTTCGTTTTCGGGGGACCTTCGAAACTCAGGCAGATGTTCACACAGACAAGAGCATGGTCTGAGACAATAAATGTGGACCAGATTAGCCTGCAATCCTTTACATTACCTCGCAATCCAAGACCGATTGCGCTATGATCAACCTGAGACAATGATTGAGACGCGGAAGAGGGTCGCCAAGTAGCGGAAGGTCTCCTCGAATGCCAGAAGCTGGTACTTAAGAGAAATAAACGATTATCTTCGCACAATATGAGAAGCTACTCCATTATTTGAGCAGCATTATCATCACTATACACGTTAGCTGCAGGTGGAAAACCCCACAGCTATTGCGCCGCAATACAAAAGACAAGAAGAAAAGGATAAAAAAGTGGCACGCCGGTTGACTCCCCAGTAAAGGATGGAGATCGTTCCGGAGAGGTAACAGCTCGATATCGTGCCACAAAAAGAGATATATTATGCGTAACGAATGAGATCGTGATTAAGGAGGTGGACAAAGAAACTCACAACACAAATGCCATTGGGCCGGCTCTTCGTCATATCAGCAAGTGTGTCCAACCAAACGTGTTCATCGTCCTTAGGACCCTAGCCAGGCAGTCGGGATGCACCAACCGACGCCAACGTTGAGGTGAGGGTTTTCATTTCTCTCGACCAAGTCATCGCTTGGCCAACCCTCCTCTTCTCCCAACGGCACCCCCGGCGCGCAAACAATCCATGTCGCAGAAGTCGGTATGTGGGCATGCGTAACACGTGGCCTAGACATCGGAGTCTGGTGCGTGATATAATGGTGCTGAGCGGTTCACTAACACTTCCTGCAACAAATACGCGGCGCCGAACACGTTCACTGCTCACGCGGTGCTCGCACCAGACATGAGGCAAGCTGCGGAGGCAGCGATGATCGAACGTGTCTAGCCACTTTATGTCTGTCGACCTTATGGGCCAGATTTCACAACCGAATAAGAGGGTTGTACGGACGGCTGTATTATAAACGCTGCCCTTGAGGGCGAGAGTGATGTCGCGTCGGTGACTGGCGAAAGCAACTCGAGCTTTTGCTAAAAGGCGGGTGACCGCTAGTACAGCCGCACAGTTACCTCTAAGTGATCACCACCAAGGGTCAACGAAGGGTTGAATCCCTGCCAATCTTGGAGGACTTTGCACTTCGAGGGTGCAAAGCAAAGCCCAAAGCGATTGACAGATAGTGCGAATATGTCTAGTGCTACCTGGCATGTTTTGGAGTTGTCATAGGTGAGGGCAATATCGTCAACATCCTGCAAATCCAGAAGTCCCTCACCAGAAATAAGCTCCACACATAGTAGGTCGTGTCCCGCGAGTCCCGTTTCCGTGACTTCGTCAATGGCGAAGTTAAAGAGGAAAGGTGACAGCAGGCAACCTTGTCCCACATCATTGGAGATAATGAAGGGCAGCAACAGCTTGCCGTAAGCCCTCACTCTGCTCGAAGTATGCGCGTATAGCGCTCCGATAATGTTTGTGTATTCATCGGCACACTCTTCCTGTGCACTGTCCCAAACGGCGCATCGATCAACCGTATCGAAGCACCATTTATGTCGAAAAACGCGACTACGGTTGGTCGCCAATAAACATGGCCGTGCTCCAACAATTGACGCCAAGTCAAGATGTGGTCGATGCAGCGTCGATTTCGACGAAACATGGCTTGCTCCTCACGAATCGGGCTTTCACGAGTGCCAGTTAACCTGTTAAGAACGACCGACGCAAACAACTTAGATAAAAAATTGAACCCTCTATGATTGCCGCATTCTGAACAGGAGTCTCCCTTGAAAATTTGGATTATGACGGGGCGGCTACAGTCTGGTGTGACGGTTTCCTACTTGCACAGCTTCATGAGTAAATTGGGCAAATCATTTACAAAAACAGGTCCCCGAATATAAAGAGGGCTCAAGAAAGTTTATCTGCCCCTGCGACGTTATTCAATTTCAACAGACTGATCTCACGTTTGAGTTCTGCAGGTGAGGGCGGATCCAAAGAGACGGTCCAGGGAGAAGCGCAAACAACGTCCGAAAAAGAAAGTGACAACTCAGGTTGATTAAACTGCTTTGATAAGTGTTCAGGCCAATGCCCCAAGCAGTTTAACAAGCTGTGGATCGCCTGTCCACTGTCGTCGCGCATGGTCTCACTAACATCGGGTCACCTGCTGCTCGGTTCTCGTATCAGACGGAATAACTTAGGATAGTTACCGACAGCAGCGGCTATTTCCATCCCCGATGTATGATGAGGCCACCAGGATTCACGGTCACTCTTCAGGTTAACACGCAGTTTTGCGCTGATTTTTGCGAACTTCAATATGTTGGCTTCCAGCCGGAACACGTCGGCGAGCATTCAGAAGTAACAGATAATCTGTGAAGACACAATATCCAAGTTGGCAATTTGATTTGCCACATGAAGACGTACCGATTGATAATAAGATCTGGCGAATATACGACCAGTGATTTTCAACGGTGTTCAGGGTGCGCTTACTCAGCCCGGATGCCAGCACACTTTGATACACATTCAGAACCCCTGGCTTCGCCAGCTGGTTGATGTCTTTGCAGTCACAGTGACAAGAACGGACGTCCGCTGAAACGCACATGAAGATCGGTACACAAGAGTGTGATCGGAGTCCACGCTCGTGCTCCAAATCGAAGGAAGTTTTGAACGCAGCCTCTCCAGCGGTAAGTGATCGCGATGTGATCAATCTACGTCCATGACTGGTCTGAGGATGGTGGGCGACGAGTCAATCTTCTGGGAGTGCTGTGTCGACGTTAGTGCCCACGATAAAGAGACGAGCATCTTCACACGGGTGTAGCAACCAGTCCCCATTATAATTATGGGAGCCTATACCAGGTTGACCGCACAAATGAAGCTAATCAGAGAAAAATCTTCCGACTTGGACGTTCAGATCACCAACAAGTACCACAATATCTCTAGTTTTCCCGTAATGAGGAAGTTCGTAAAGTTGTGATAGAAATATACGTTCACCGAACCAGTGCTAAAGTCCGTGAGAGCGTAGGCCGCAAAGACAAACAGGCACCTTCTGCCTACGAATGATTTCTAAGACTGGAACGAGCCAGCAAATCTGACGGCGCACATCCAGCTGTTGAGTGGAATCCAATCGATTAGGACATTTTCAGTCCGGAGACT